GTGTGTGTGTGTGTGTGTGTGTGTGTGTGTGTGTGTATATATATATATATATATATATATATATATTTATTTATTTATTCGTATTTATATAGTTCAAAACAAAATATGCAACAAATATTTTTATATATTTCGTACTGATTTCTCTCGGAAAAAAATTTTGTAAAAATTTTAGTTACAGAATCAATCAACTCAAATGATTAAACAATATTTGCGACGGGACATCGTTGATCCTATCCGCTTTTAAACGAATTATGATTTAGCGGATATCCAATTTCGAGTTTGACTGTCAAGATCACACAGATCATAATCGCCCATTAAATCTCCACTGACGAGAAATCGATTTTAAATTTATCAAAAAATTTATGGCCAAAGGAACACACGGAACAAATCTGGGTCACTCTGTGTGTGCCGTTTGAACGTGGCTTTCAATTCCCAGCTCTTTAAACGCTGTTAAATCCAGTTAAAGGCGATCTTAATTGAAGCGACATTAAATGTTCCGCGTGCATAGAATTGACGATTTGGATTTGGATTGCTCTATTAATGCCACGTTTCTGCGATCTTGCGCTATCCGTAACACACGCGTAAGAATGACTTTCATTTTTCTCATGCCATGTGCAACTTGTCCGGATAACTCTTCGAGATTATCCGTGTGATCAATCGTGATTAAATACGAATAGTCGGATAATATTTACGATCCCGATGGAAAAATCCTGACTTACCAAGGAGGGAAAAAGGCCAGACGGGCGCCAGCAGGGTTTAGAGTGCCAGTCATTCTTGCTTTTTTGTTTTTACGCACGATGCAGCAGCAGTGTGTCGTTCTATGTGATCGTGAGGTTTATTCCAGGTTGCTGCGAAGACAGAAGAGAAAATGGCAATAGCATACAATAGGGCTCGCGAATCGAGCCTTCTAAACGAAGCGAACATGCGAACATAGCCGTGCTGCGGTCCAGTTGACACGCACAAAACCCATTTAATAGACGATAGAAACGTCACTACGTCGGGATTAGTAATACGTGATGTATTCACGCGGTTGCCTTGTCGGGGAATTAAACCGATGAACATCTACGTACGTTATCCAGGATTGGATTATCAAATCTTATTTGTAATAATTACCAGAAAGATACGTTACTAGCGAAACTCGAGAATCTACGACAACGTATCGGACGAAACTCTGTTTTCTTTACGATTGCCATGATGTGAGCGCGTTTACGGCATCTTGAAGTCTTGAAAGTCCGGCTCGTTGCGGACTGCACGTCTACTCGAGTTTTCATTATCGTCGTCCGAAGGCGAGAAAAGACGAGAAAAAGATTACGTCGCAACACCTCGAAGTTTTCACGCTTGTAGGAGTTCCGTGAAAACGTATTGTATTGTAGAATACGGATATAGACGGAGAAACGGACCAGGAAGGACAAGGCACGTCGCATTCTTTCAACAGATCTTGCAACCATGACACACCCATGCGACTTCGCAGTTTCGCAATTTGGCATCCCGAATGACAAGAGTCGGACACGCTTGGCCAACGTTCGCATGGGTTCGCACACACGTGACATCGATCTGAGGACTTCCCGACCTGGGCGTGGTCCCGCGAAACGGGAATAAAGGGGACTACGATCGTTTATTTACCGGCGTTTAACGCGGACGTCACAAAGCGGGAGCCATCATTTTTGTAAGCGCTATAGTAAATCATACTTCACGGGAGCTTTATAACTCGGTTACAAGTATGACGTTATGTGACGATTAGCATTTCATTCTAACTAATTATAATAATTGTTTATGGATTAATCCAAGTTATTTATGTTCACTATTC